ATAATTCATATATATATGAGAAATATTCTATATATTCTATATCATCAATTATTTCATACATCAGCTTTACATTAACAAATTGCTTTGAAAATTTCACATTCGCTTCATCTCAATACACCAGAATCGAGTAACCGCAGTAATTTTTTTTTCTTGCGAGTATGAAAATGTTAAATTTCTCGCTGTGAAATTTTTCTTTGTCCACGATTTGAAGAATTACTGGCACTATTGCTATATTTAAACAAAAAAATATAAAGGCAAAAGGACAAACATATGTATATATATGTATGATAAGAGATCTTCGAAACAGTCTCGACATATACGCGTATATTTTCAATACATAAATATCAGTATTGTTTTGCTACATAATGGAAATATAACGCAAGTGTATGTGTTTACATTATTATAATTATCGCTGACTGCGAGGATATGTATGCATATAAACGTTATCTGTTATATAATCCTGGCTCTCAGTTTCTTGCATATCCTGCACTTGGATTATTTCGGAAAATTTCAGTAGGTATAAGATCAATATTTTACATTCTTAAAATATATATACACTGAGCGAACGAAAACACATCGAAAATGTGAAAATAAATTTATTTAATGTATCTTTATTTTATTTCGCTTTATAAATGAATCGAACGCTAACAAACTATTTGCATTTACATTGTGCTAAAATAGACATTTTCAAAAAATTGTAATAACGAAGATTTATATTAATTAATCATTCGCTCATGTACATATTCACTTTTACAAATACATTCATGTAATAATAAATTTAAATCGAGAGATTGTATCACACATATCACTGGGAACTCCGTCACATATCTCAGTATAAAAATATCCAAGCGGCACAAAATAAAAAATATAGCGTAGCTTAGTAAAAGAAGAGAAAGACAAGGGGATACAAGGCAAACGTACCTATCATACATTATCGACTGTACGTGTAATAAACGAAAACACAGAGTCCGTAATATAAAAGTTACCCTCTTACATGTGTTCACACACACACACACACACACACACACACACACACACAATCTTTTTTTACACATGCATATACATATCTTGCTAGTTTGTTCATTCAATATATATATGTATATATATACTTCGTATGAATATATTAAAAAATCTATTTCTCTTTATATTGTGGTGTGTTCAATATAATTTGATACACAAATATTCGTGCGCGCGCGCGCGCGCGTGTGTGTATATATGGAGTATTCTCTCATGCATGAAAAATAATCTTTGTATTTTTTTCTTCTTTTCTCGTATCCTTAGTTGACTCGACAATCAACTCGAATCCAAATAGAAATAAAAATCCGTAATAAAAAAAAAGTAATTATGTCCAACATAATTTAACATTCGGTCTCTGCTAAAACTTGAGAGATATTCAGAAATTACAACTAACCGATTAAACGTCTTTCCTTCTCCGTCATAAGATATCCTCTCCTCTTATTTAATTTCTCAATATTAACAAATGTAGAAACGCTATTTCAGTGCAGCCAGTATTTTCTGTATATCTCCCTATCGCTCTCTCACAGTAGGACCATTCATATATTAAATACAACTAAAGTGATAAGTGCCAACAATAATATACAAAATAAATATAAATATGTATGTGTATATATACATATAAAGAATGCGGATTTCCCAGCTGCAAATCTTAGTAAAAATATTTAATATTAATAACAAAAAACACATTGTAGTCAACAGAAATTATATACAGTACATGTCCACACGTACGATTTAACTAATTATGCTCTTATCTGTAATATATAGAGTGAAGTATCTAAGTTAGAACTTGAAATATATCTCTATTACTTTTGAGAATGCAAAAAAAAATTTTAAAAAGAAAAATGTTTGCTTTAAAAGAATAAATAATACAAATAAACATTTTTTAAAACATTATACTGCGGCTGCAAAATAAATTATAATTTTATAAAGATTAACTTTTCATCTCTGAAGGATTCATCTGAAGGTCAACCAATACATGATTGAATTTCTTTTTTTTTTATAGCTACATCACAAATAACAGAAACATATACAATTGCTTAAAAAAATGCCATCACCAGTCTCAAGAATAGCCCATCAAAATAAGCTGGATACCTTAGAAAATATAATTTTGAGAAAAGAATTGTGTTTGTTATTGTTATTTATTGTATCGATTATTTATCCGTTTAAAGCGAACATTTTTCTCTTTAGAAATTTTTTTGCGTTCTTAAAAATAACAAAGATATTTCAGATTCTAATGTTAGGTACCTTACCCTGTATATCCTGAAAGAAAAGCATATATATTTTATAGAAAAATTTAGAATACTTTGTTTAGAAAAAAAAGAAATAATAAAAAAAAAAGAACTACGATCGTCGACGATCCATTACATAAATAATCTTATAAATCATCACTGTGTTCTCTTCCCTCATGCCATCAATAAATTAAACAGTTTGATAACTTTAATCTTAAATGATTGGAAATGCAAAAACAATTGAATATGTTATTATCAACAATGATTCAAATTATGGTCCTACTGCATGTATCAAATAAATAATTTTCAAATATCCAAACTTTGTTTTCTTATTGACATCATTAGGCTTAGACCGAGCTTTTTCGAATAAAAAAGCAGATCCCACTTATATACACAAATCACAAGATTGTATTCGTAGCGATTCGATTCGTAACATGTATATAACGTTCTGGGTAAATTACAATGTAGTACGAGCTGCTGGAACACACCTAGGTTTCTGCTTATAGCATACCTAGAATAATAATATAGCACCTAGGTTTTTTGTACTTTAGCATTATTTCGTCATGATAGTATATAATTAATTATAAACATATATGATGCCACAATGTATTTACATTATCGCGATCAAATGACTACCAAGATGTGAATGGAAAGCAATCTATAATTGGCGCGGTATAATTCCTTAAATGTAATCTCTTCTCTGTTTCGTTATAATACAATATTTACATTCGACTTCAATAAAAAAAATCGATCAATAGAAGTATATTTAACATGGCTATCCAATTCGTGGCATCGGTTTCCCACATCTCTCACCGGGAGTATCACTCTTTCTAATCCGCTAACTTATGACTGAAAAATAAAAGATGTCAACGGAGTAACATGTTTGTCATTACGACTATAGATTTAACAAACTGAAATTTACTCGAAAAGTATTTTTTTTCGTTCTTTGCGAAATGCTAAAATGAAAACAGGAAGTGAACCTATCACGCATAATAATGAAACATGAAGCTATCTTTGCCGATAGTGGTCGGTCGGTTTAAATTTCGCTAAGTAAGAGCAAGGACTCTATTAACCCGATGTTTTAAGTTGGATAGCACGTGTGGTTTACTTACCTAATAAAAAGTTCGAAATAATTGCGATAACGTTTAAAGGCTCGTCGCATATCACATAAATCTAGATAATTTTTCGTTTCGTTTAGAATCATCATATTTATATACAGAGTTTTTCGTAATTCGTGCCCATCAATTATATAGTGTCATTTCTTGATGAAAAATGAATCAAAAAGTCCTGAATCATTTTTTCTTGCGATACTTAATGAAAGAGAAATTATCAAATAAAATTAACTTAATCAGCGCCATTTGTTAGACGGATGTATGTCCGCGAGCCGCGCGCTTGATAGTGTGCGTGATGACTACATACATGATTGAGCTTGCCTTATTTAATAATTCCTTTTTTGTTAAACATCGTAGAAAAAAAATGGTTAAGGACTTTTCAATTCATTTTTCCTCAAAAAATAATGCTATTGATAAACAAAAATAACAAAAGACTCTATACTACACAACATACACACACCTAACGTACTCTAAATTCAGTACATGCTTATTCGGATAAGCGTCGTAATCGCGGTAATCGCTGAGCAGTTGTATGTATTAAATAATTTTCGCATATGTTATCCTAATCACTGATCCGACTCGTTATTAGTCACTAACACATTGGCAGGCTCAGACTCTTTATTATTCGGTGGTAAATCCGTAGCGTCGGTCTCTTCATTGCAGCTCTCAGTGCTGTCAGCCGCGCTGGCACGTGGCACCATTGCCGAAGCGTCTTCCTTCTTGTCTCGATTCTCACTAATTTCCACGACGATCGTGGATTGCTGTTGCTGTAACTTGTGCATGTGCAATTGACTACGCAGCTTCGAGATCTCATGCGCGTCCGACTGCCGATGACGTCGCAGCTGCGCGTTCTCCGACGCCACGCGACGCGCTAGCTCTATTATATCCTGTGGTACGTTCAGCACTCTCAATCGTTCCTCAAGATCGGCCGCCGCAGTACCGTCTGAATCGGAATCGCTTTCAGACGGTGAGGAAGTGCCGACCTCTGAAGAGGCCGCCAGTGGAAGAGGCTCTACGGTCACCGTAGACGATGTCACTGCTGCACTACTCTCCTCTTCCTCGCCCTCTTTTTCCTTTTTCTCCTTCCCCGGCAGTACAGTTTCTTTTTGACTTGCATCGGACATATAATATATGGGATAAGAATCGACAGCCACAGCTTGATTCGGCGATGTTTTCTCCAACTTGACATCGGCAGACAGCAGTTCCTGCTTCTCGCTCGTGGGACTCGTCGAACGATGACTGTGACGGCGATGTTCGTGATGATGCCGTCGTTGTTGATGAACGGAAGAAAGAGGCGGTATCTGACCCATCTGAGTGGGCGTTGATATAGGCGCTAGCGCCACGTTAGGCTGAAAGTGCGGTTCAAAGCGCTCGCATTCCGAAAGTGGGATGACTCGTTCAGGATGCTGCAGTACAGGTGGACCTCGACTAAGATACGCAGGCAGCAACGATGAACTATCAACAAAAACGATAAAATTGTCATTTCTTTGCTTGAACATAAAACATACACATATGCTACGTGTGAGTTACAATACTTACTTGTCTCTATGTTTGCAATTGCCTGCAGCATTCCAAGGTCGAAAAGCGGACGCGCCCCTAGCAGCGAGTTCAAAAACTGCCCATTGCATTTGCAAATATGGGTCAGCTGCAGTAGCTATTTGAGATATAGGATGGTATATCCCTAGTCCATTGCCGTTATAAATTCCAGGACAGTCATCCTTCCCTATGTCTTTTTTTGTGCGTTTGGCTAATCTCTCATGTTCGTGTCGCAACTGAAACAAATAGTTGCGTGTACTCTTTCCAGATACATTTATGATGTTAAATCTTATCTCTAGTACTATATTAAGCGCTATCATAATATACAGCTTTGTAACATATTAATATTTTGATCTAATCTTTAAAGAGAATTGCATTATTAGTAGGAATACCTCTAGTTTTCGCTTGGAGTTTAACACAAGATGCCTCTCCTTCAGTTCACGAAAAAGAATAAGCGATTTGTTGTAATGTTGTTGATCACGAGAGAGCAACAAGTACGACCGCCAATTTGCTGAATCAAAACCCCAGTGGCAGGTACGGTTCTCCAAAGATCTGTGAGCATGTCTCACAAAGCGTTGCGGAGAGAACTGGTAGCCACACTCGAGACACTCGATGCACACAGAATCATCCGTTTCGAAGAGTTCGGCATCAAAGATACCCTTACACTTACCAAAACATTCATGATACACCTTGAACTTGACAATCGTCTCCTCATCCTCGTTTTTACCGCACGCTTTCTTATCGAAACAGTCCTGTGTCTGGCCGATTTGAGCAGGGTCGCAGGATTCTGTTCGTAACAGCAAAGCACTAACAAGCCTCTCGGCGTCGGTCTGAGTAATGAGACCGCAAGACGGAGCATTATGCGGCAAAATGGCAGAATGCTTGAGCTCCTCGAGCTGATCTCGGGTGCAGCGCGAACAATAGATCTGCAGCTCGTCGCACACCTGATTGATCTGTGGCAGCGAGAAGTCTTGCAGCACCGTGTTCAGTATCTGAGGTAAACATAACCTCCTCTCGCCGCCTACCACGAAGCACGATATCCTCTCGCCTTCGAGGATCGTCTCGCATCTCTCGGAGCAGCTCTGATCAGGCGCCGTTAATATCGGTATTTGGAACTCGAGCTCGCGCTTCTCGCCCTTGAGACGCTCCGCCGCCACGGGACGATCCTCGTCCGAATCTTCCAACGACCGGGAGATCTTGTTACCGGAGGGTGGAACGGGTGTCGCTGTGCGCTGTACCTCCTTCTCGACGACATCTTTCTCGGGCACCTGCGATTCCCCGGGCGATTCCAAGGCGCAATTGGTCGCCGGACGACTAGCGGGTGGTGAGAAGCACGAGGTTGCCGATTGTTGCTCATGTAACAAGACCTTACAGTCCATGCCCAGCAGGGCCGAGCTTGGACCCTGCAGGCTCTTCACAGCTGACAGCTGATAGGTCTTCAGAACGGTCTTCAACTGTGGACTGTACGATTGACCAGTGTTACCGGGCAGTAATGTCTCCATTATTACTGCGCGCGTGTCGTCGTCGGTATCCCGGGAAATATATCCCCCTCCCCTTCCCGCCCCTCCGCCCCGCCTTCGGGGAAGAGGGTGACGACCGAAGAACGTATCGCCCGCCGCTCTCTAACGTACGCTCTCGCCGTTTGGCGTTCGGCGAATTTCTTCACATTCGTCTCCCTCTATCTCGATTATATATATATAAACACACATTAGATTTTATATTATACGCTTCAAAACTATTCCACAGTAAACTTATGTCACAGACATCAAAAGTACGGTTGAACCGTACATTGGAACAATCGGCATGACTCGCCTTCTTCGCAATTTCACTTCCATGTCACTCGGGCCTAGTAGCGCGTTACAATCGTCGCGATGATGTTCGTCGTCGTGGCACGTACTCTTCGCATTTTTCGCGCTCGTTCGCGAATCGACTCCGTGTCGAGTGCCGAGTCGCGAGACAAGACCGGGTCCATCTCCGAATGAGGTTTTTAACCCGCGCGCATTACGAGATTCTCCTCTCTCTCTCTCTCTCTCTCACACACACACTCACTCACTCACTCACTCACTCGCTCACTCGCTCACTCACTCGCTCGCTCGCTCGTCTCACGCGAGACAGAGTTACACGCGTATAACCCGTTCGCGCCTTCTTCCTTTCTTCCTCCCTACGTTCGCCCCCTTCGTTGTTGCATTGCGTCGCTGATGAAGACAACGATGCGGCTACCGCTGCGATCCCGCGACACCATCACCACTTCCACGTACATCGTAAAGTCACTCGTTATCCATTTCTTTCTTTCCCTTTGTTTATGATATTGCGCTCTCTTTCTCCCTCTCTCTCTCTCTCTCTCTCTTTCGTGCGCGCGCGAGTACGCGAATATCGCACACGCAGCGTGCGTCTCCTCTGTGGAGTCTCCTCGCGATCGCGAGTTCCCTTCAATTCCGTCGCAAGTTCCCTCCTTGTTCCTTGCTACTGCCCTCCTCCTCTCCTTCTCGTCCTCCACCTCTTCCTCCTCTCCGCCCCTTCTCAACCTTTTTCTCTTTCTCTTCCTCCTTCTCCTCTTCTTCCTCCACCTTCTATGGCAGCGACAGCGGTTTTCAACACGATGTTCTTGTAGCCGCGAATTCGAAGCACGACGATGGCAGGGATTCGAGTCGCACAGTCACGGCGGACCGACGATTCATGATGGGCCGAGACTCTTATAGTCTTATTGAACGCAATTCACGGCCAACGAAATAACACATGTCCTTACATATGTAAATCTATTTATTTTTCGCACTTAATTGCACACGCGTGTACATTTTCTATTTATCTATCACATCGCTTTTTCCGTCACTGCATTGCAGCGCATCGTCGTCGCGAACGGTACATCTTATCATTGTCCCGTTGACGACGTCCCCGCCGTCGCGTCACCACCGAAACATCGTCGTCGTCGTTGCCGACGATCGCTATCGGGACGCTGCGCCGCCGCAAATAACACCACTCCGCGCGCCAATAACAACGAGGATGTCGACGATGATACATCCGATGTTCAGCGAATATTATCGCATCATTGGAGCGCGACCACCAGCACGACTACCGTCGTCAAACGAGTAATTTACCCGTCGGCACGTCGCGACGCAATGGCGTATCGATCGCGGCGACGACGGCGGCGGCGATGGTGGCGGTGGCGGTGGCGGTGGCGGTGGCGGTGGCGGTGGCGGTGGCGGTGGCGGTGGCAGTGGCAGTGGTAGTGGTAGTGGCGGTGGTAGTGGCACAGTGGCAGTGGTATGGTAGTGTCGGTGGTAACGGAACACGCACTGACAAACAAGTGTGGACGAGACAACCGATATCGGACTCGGACACTTGCAAGAAAATTGATTAACTTGCATATTTTTTTTCAGCGTCACGAGAGATGCCGATAATGATGTTTGTTTCGATTCTAGAGGAGACGTACAAGCGAATGGACACATCCACCGATGATGTGAATGCACGAATTCTCCATCGCGAATATATATATTTTCTTTTTTTTATCTTTCTTAATTTCTTCATTTATGCGTAGACACTAATAAGCGACGACAGACTTCCGCGATGTGTACATATACCTATGCGTTTCGCGCAAATTCTTTCTCATCCCTCGCGCTTTCATCGTGCACGACGACCTGTATATTGTAGATATTGCGTGGCTCTCGCTCTATCCGTACTTTTCTCGCATTTCCATTTTGCAGTCTTTTTTGCTCTCATGTGCGAGCAGAGGAGTCCTGATCTTTTAGCTCTTTTCCTCTCTCTTTCTCTTTCTCTTCCTCTCTCAATGCGTTGTCCACGAACGAGACTAGTTTCCATAGACATAGTATATCTAGACCGAGTGTGACGCTCGTGCGTACTGTTATCGCGAGCTTTTCGCACAACCGTGTATACGTGCACATGTGCTAGACTGCGTTCGAGAACGTCACCCATGTGCACCGAGCATCGTTCTATCTTTGTTATTTACTGAAAGTTGAACGAAGATAGAACGACGCTCGTGTGCACACGGGTGATGTTTTTGAATGTGGTCCAGCGTGCAGCCCGCTGTGTGAATTCCCAACCAGCTGTTATATATCATATGTCAAGAAATTACGTATAGACCGATTGTACTTTTTGCTCAACATGTATTTTATTTGGCGCGCATTCTTCTCTTTGCCTTACCCCCTTTTTCAATGTCAAATATCTTAGCAATTGAGTGTTATGTTAGGGCCTCAGCACAACATTAAGCGTTATAGAAAAAAATGGTACAGGACCTTTCTGTTCAGTTTGCTGTGCTCTACCTGCTCACAAGCGTTGTCAAGGGTGCTTTGGGACACCCTGTATATGTGTGTGTGTATGCGTTCACGTAGTGGTAAAAAAATCACCGTAAACTCCGTATACCCATCTCATTCCCTTCTATAAGCATCGCGGCTGCTCCTCCCTTTCTCCCTCCATCTTCTCGCGACAATCGGCTACCTACTGCGCACCGCCACGCCTGTGTAGCAAACAATGCCGAATTAAGTAAACACAAATGAATGATGTCATTATATAGAATCCGCATATTCATCTTGTATTATCTGAGAGCCGATTGATTTTACACTAATTTCTTTGATCTTTTAACGCGTCATTTTCCTTTTATAGCTATAATATACAGAGTATTAATTAATTTGCATACCCGCCAATCCAATAAGCAAAATGTGCGCAATATATGTCAACAGATTTATTCGGTAAATTGTTAGCAAATTGCAAATATTAACTGCCCACATATCAGATGTAGATTTTGAAAATATTCCAAAAATATCGTAAAAGCTGGTAAAAGTATATTATGTATATATTCTAGGAACATTCGAGACGTCCAAGTAAGCAAAATGCGCGCAGTATGTCAGCAGATTGGCAACAACAGATTTGAACTCGGAAGTTGCTAGTAAACTCATATCAGTTACGTCTACTTATAGCCATTTAAAATTAAATAGAACAGTAAGTAAATAGTAAAGTAACATAGTAGAAAAAAATGGTTTAGGACTCTTTTCGATTTATTTTTTATGAAGAGATATCGCTATGTAGTATTTAATAGGCGCGAATTAATTAACATCTTATATATAAATACAGATTGCGTAGATATGATACTAATATAAAGATAGAAGTCTGCTGGCAGTAAATATTTCGGTACGACTCTGCGCGCGAACTTCGTCTCTGGATTCTACTCGGTTTATGTAGTGACAAAAGAAACAACGGGAAAAAACGATATTTACAAGCATTAAACTCACTAGGAGGATCTCATTTAGTTCTTCGATATTGTATATACAGGGTGTCCGACAAGTACACACACACACACACACTTATAATAATTCTTATATAAAGAGTTACAAGAAAATAAAGTAAATAATCGTAGAATAATTTTATTTTAATTAGAAATTTATATTACATGCGCGTTTTGCTCTCGATTCGATTGAAAAATTCCAATTACGTTTCTGTGTAGTCCCTCACTTTGTCACTCAAGAAGAGCAAGTGTGTATGCCGTGTGCGTGTACGTACACATTCATATACAAGTAGAGCATAATGCGCATAGCTCGGTTACGACGTGCTGTCGTCCGCGGCGGCACGCGCATTCATGTGAATCGGACGCTGCCGCCGTCTAGTTATGTGGCCTTCCCGTCAAAATAGCTTGCGTATCTCTCCCTCTCTTGTGCGCATCTCTCTGTCACACTCGCACTCCATGCGGTGCGGTGCGCAGCATACACATATGCATATGCCCGTGAACCGACGACTACGCAAAATACAGTATGCTTAGTATCGTTGCCATCTTGTATTCATTGTCAGGATGAAGTATCGCGAAACTTCGATGATATTGATGGCGCACTCTTCATCTTTGCTCTTCCTCGAAATAGACAGCTGGGTGCCATACTTCATGATTTGTACATACAAAAATGTTTGGAAGATATTAGCCTGAAAATTATGTTGAAATCAAATTATATATATATATATATGTGTGTGTGTGTGTGTGTGTGTGTGTGTTGATATACTTAGAATTGCGCGATAGATATTTTGCCATCTTTTGAAAATGTTAAAATTACAAAATAAAATTAAATAATAATGACGAAAATATACAATTTTTCTGTGTAATAAACAATAAATATTGTTCTCTTCTAAATAATCGTGCATATTATAATTATAAAAACTCCAAAGATGTTGTGGAACAATCTAATAAAATATTTAAAAAGAATAGGTTGCTCATATCTCATACACATATATATAAGTACATAATATAAGTTATATATAAGTACAGTTATATAAAATTTAAAAAAATAATACGTTATAAGTAATATATAAGATATTGAAACTTGATTTATACTCAACTATTTTATTTATTCCTTTTTGTCGTCTTATTTTTCTTTTTTTTCTTTTGCATCTTTTTGTGTTTCTCTTCCTTTTTGTCCTTTGATTTAGATTTCTTTCCTTTTTGTTTATTTTTCTTCTTTGCCGAAATTTCATCCTCTGATGATAATGAAGAAGAATCCGTTGTTGTAGAACTAGACAAGGTGGAACTAGATGATGAAGTAGATTCATCGGAACTGGAGAGTTCATTCTCTTGAGCGTTTAATGCTGGTACGGTAGTCGGCTTTGAACGGGATTTTAAGTGTTCTCTTAAATCATCAGTCAAAGCACCCAAACCAATTGAAGTAAAAAAGTTAATTGCAAAACGCGTATTTTTCGGATCATCTCTAGGAAATAGTCCTTCAAACACTTCTTGCAGTGTTGCATCCTTGACTCGTTCATTCAGTTTTGCTAGACCCATATACTCTGAGAGTTCTTGAAACAGAATCTTAATAAATATCCTGTTAGAACTAGTGGTATCTTCCTCGTTCAATTTTATACACGACAGTACGCTCCACGAAATGGAATCCGTGAATAGTAAATGGGCAAAAAATTTCGACACGTTCCGCAATTTGTTGCTATCGAGACGATGTATCGTATGATAGGAATCTTTGAAGATTTGCTCGAATGGTGTTACGTACATCTTATTGATGGCGCAAAACCGAACGGCTAAAAGTCCAAAGAACTTCTCGTACGTTCGCATCTCCGCGCAGCAGTCCAAGAACATGTGGCACAATTCGATCTCCTGTCCGGGTTTCAGTTGCATTTTCATCAACTTGTGTGCACATTCTTCGAAATCGAGCGAGGAATGTATCATCAAATATATAGTTCGACGAAGTGCGGTCAGATTTGTTTCTGTATTATCAAATATTACATCTTTCTTTCCTTCGACTTGTTCCGCGCTGCTATCTTCGTCCGAACTGTCATCTTCTCTATTCTCATCATTATCTTCCGAATCACTGACATCTGAACCAAGAATCTTTTTACATAATTGCTTATACTTCTCCTCGCTAGCAAGATAATTTACATCAAACTTGAACACATTTAATATATCTTGCGTATCCATCTCGTCATCTAATCTTATCGAATGGGTGAATTGATCCTCCTCTTCCACAAGATCCAATTCTTGGGGAACAGCTTCGTGATCCTTAAATCCATCCTTTCTGATTTGAAACATAACTTCTATCATATATTGAACTCGCTTATCCAATTGTCCTTCGTGTAGTATGTTTCTTAACATCTCAAAGATGGCTTCTACACCTCTTCGCGAAACCTCTGTCAGCTTCATGCCACATTCCTTCAAAAATGCTATGGCCACTTCAACGAAATCATCTGTTGGTGTTTCCAATAACAGAGTCAAAATTTCTAAAGCAATAATTTCATAGGCTACACCTTGATTAACCAAATGTGCTATAAATGTGCCTGAGGATATACACAAAGGTTTATCATTTCTTTTAAACCCACGTTTAAATTGCAGAACGAGACGCGTCAATACCAATTCACCTATATCAGGGAACTTGGAATTGATTATAGCTGTTAGTGCTGCATAAACTGGAGTGAATGTTGGAGAAGCAGCTTGCGCTTGAATAATAGAACGCGCCAACAAACCTCTACCACGAACAATGTTTTCGTGCAACAATTCTCTTGTTATGATTCCTATATTACTAGTGTTAACCTTATTAATATAACCATGGATAGACTTCTTCAACGCTTCCCATGCAATACGTTGATAAGCAGCTCCAGACTTATCAGTTATCTCTGCTTGGAGCATACGCAATTTGGCAGGTGGAATGTACGCACCTCCCGTCTTTGAAGTCAGAAGATCCACTGTACGCTTTTGCCTAACTTCCTCTACATTCTCTTGCGTTTTATCCGGTTCTCCATAATACCTACTTCCTACTTCTTCTTCCGGCAAATTCTGCTTTCTGCCCCTTTCGCCATTATTATCCTTACGATCGTCGTTGTATCTAAGATTTTTGTGATCATCGCGTCTAGTACGCCGATGATCATCGTCACGTCTAGAACTTCGATGATTACTGTCTCGTCTGAAACTTCTGTGTTCACCGCACCTGGAACTACTGTGGTCATCGTTATGCCTAGACTCCTTACGATTGTCATTGCGTTTGTAATCTCTTCGTTTGCGATAGCTTTCCTCGATCTCCTCTTCGTTTCGTTTTGAGTGCGATCTCTTCATTTTTCTCCTTGTGTACATAACCTCATGCTTATGCTCACTTATGCTCACTTGTGCCATCGACATATAGAATGGAGAATGGACTGCTGATGGCAGTGGAAAGGGAGTCGCACGAGTATAGTGAAAAGCGGATAATATGAGGTCACTTCCATCTCTTTCTAATAAAGCCTGATTGGATCAGCAGTACTGCAGATTTTTTGCCAACCAATCAGGCTTTATTAGAAAGAGACGTAACGTTTAGTTCATAATGTCATTATGAACAAAAGCATTGTAATCCTAGTGTTAAACTTTAACGGTTCCGGCATAAATTAACAGTTACGGCCTGCATAAACCAGCCTTCAGACCACACATTGAAGATTTGAGATTGAAGATTCAAGATTGAAATTTGACCAATCAGAACAAGAAAGTTTAGTTCCTTTTGTTCTGATTAGTCAAATTCCAATCTTTAATCTTCAATCTTCAATTTTCAATGCGTGGTCTGATACGGGCTAAACGCAGCCTCTGCTGAACGCGGCCATTTATCATACATTTATATGTAAAGAACAAAGGATGCTATCGGTCTAGTGTATTATAATATAGAAATTGTGAAAAAGATAGTAATATAAAGTGGACGAGATAAAATGCTAATTATTCACATGTATCGTTGCAATTAATCGAAAACGACTGGGCGAGATACATGCGATAATAAAATCATATAATGAGTGTCGAACTGCATTCCGAACAGCTCGTAATGAGCTTATTGTTAGTTCGTTTGCGGATATATTCCTTTTAATTGGGCCGTACTATGTTTTATAAAATTTAAAGAAAAAAAGCTGTAACAAAGTCTTCAAAGTGCAACTGAAAGATACAATCTTCACATCGGTCATGCGAGCGACAAACGTTATTGTAGGTAAATTAAATGAAACCGAAGCAGTAGGTGGTGTGGATACTAACAGCGCTTCAGCGCTGGGTGTGTTCCACGTCGCGTTGAGGTTATCTCACGCGCAATGGACTGACAGCGTTCTCGATTTCGGGTATTTCAGGATACGAGAACACAATCAACGGGAAGCCTATAATATGATATACTCTTTTTTCGAAGAGAAAGATGCTTGGTGTTATTGGGTTGTATCGGTCGGCGCCCTGCTGTCATTCCTTGGCCTGATTGCCGCCTGTATCTGCAGCTGTCGACGGAATGAAAACAAGTGAGTATGCCAGAGTTTTATTATTAACTTGACTTATATATTTTATCAGATAGTAAAACGCTAGCAGTATGCCAGTAAATTCAATTATGATTTTGCGGCAACTTCCGTTCTGTTGCGTCTTTTATAAGCTTAATTTCTGCAAGCCCGGCTTATAATATATGTAGTTTATAAATAATTCATAAATAATTATATAATTATACATTCTTATCAATAACAATTGAACACAACAAAATATGAGATACTTTTTGTTAATGGAATATTTTTTTTTAACATATAGCACGTATATTGAATGTACTAATATTCGCATTCTGTCGGTATCCGGCATCCTCTTAATGATAATTAATAGATTAATAAATTCAGATTTTTCAGTACATTGTATATTCATTATTTTTTTATAAATCTTAGTTTTTTTTATAAATATTAAATTTTTTATAAATGGATCTTACATATCATGCATGTATGTATATATATATATATATGTGTGTGTGTAATACAGCCAATTCACAATTTGACATTTGTTATGCAACTATAATCATATCATGATAGGAATGAATTTCTGGGACTTGCTGGAATGGTAACACTGAATAATTCTGAAACAGATAGTTTCAACAGAATTCCAACATTGGATGTATCCCAAATTATTACCCAAGATGTCAACGATGGTGGGAAAAGGTTTTTATCTAAAAAATTACTGTAATTTTCTAGCAAATAAATTTTCAATCAGTTTATTTTCTAATTTTCTATTGCGATAAAAAGAAAATTAAAGATTATTTCTTAGAATGACTTTGTCTTGTTAATTAATACTGTACTGTCTTGCAAACATATAATAAATTTCTAAGATATTCTAAGAGATATTTTAAGATTTTATTTCTAAGATATATTTTGTGTGTGTGTGCACGCGTATTCTTATTTTTATTAAATAAATTATTTTATTTATGTAGAACTACGACAGGTGCCAACAGAAGTCTTCCAGACATTCCAAAAGATAAAAGCAAAGAACATGATGATATGGTGGGTTCTATAGCACAAGATATTTATGAGACTACTGAGACTGTAGGAGACCATTCAGAATTATATGCTACAGTCCAAGATGCGGGTAATATTGCTTTTAGATTAATAAAACGAGAAAAATAATTATATTAATGTTATTAAAATTGAAACTAAATTTTGTTATATATTTTTTTTTTTACTTTATTATTTCAGTACAAGAACAGATATGTGAAAGGGAAACACCGGAAATTGTTCAGCAAAGTTCTTTGATACAAGATACGTCTCATCAATATGCAAGATTTGCATCTCCTATCTCTGATAATAGTAAGCAAATTATTAAATTTTTCTTGTGTTTCTTAATTGGTTAATAACATTCTGATATTTATTTTAGTTGAACATCCTTATGCCCAACTTCAAAACTTTCAGAAGACTGAGGTTAATCAAGTAAATAGGTATTATCTATTTATCATATCTGTACTTTATCTTTTACAAAGTATACATTTTTTTAATATTTTGTAGAATTAATGTTAATCAAGTCACGAATATTGAAAATCCATCAACATCCACGAGTCAATTGGGCGGAAATCCGATTGCGCCGCCGCGAACTCGCCGATCATCCTCGCACAATTCGCTTTTTAACTCTGAATTGCACTCCGACATTCAAGCCGCTAATGCTATCTCCGGTAGTATACAGGCTAATCAAGACTTACCTTATATGACGCCGCCTCTCTTAATGTTATTGCCACACTCGTCACAATCCCAACATAATAGCCTGCAACAGCACTTCAGTGGAGACTCCCAAGATTCGAGTAAATTGCTTACCTTTTTCTCTCTTTGCAATTTTATTTTTTAATAATTAATAATTACTGATTTTTTTTTTATATGTAGAAGGGTACACAAGCATAAGCGTAAGGGAACCGTTAGCTAATATAATTGCACAGACTAAAGCAACTTACAGACAAAATCAATCCAGTCGACCAATTATTGATTCTCATTATACCACTGTTTCTGATGATTCAGGTAAATAAATTTTAGAGTTGCGGTATATCACGATGTAATACATAAAAAGCTCTTGCATTGTGACTATCCCATAGATGAAATGTATGCCGCGATAGATGAGCAAGATAAAGTATATACTAGTGGTAGTGAAACATATGCGCAAATTCAACCGATGATGTCAGAAGTCGAAAGACATGCACAACACGAGCAAACGATATTTTGTCAACCTTTTTTGCGCACAGAAGAGACATGTCCTGCACCACAACCGCCAAGTGTTGATAGTTTACGTTATGTTGCACATGCTCATTCCAGGCAAGGTAACAAAAGCTCGTAATAATTATTAGTTTCTAGTAAGTTAATAATTAAATAATAAAATATAGTTACTTTTCTTGTGTTATCGAGTAATAAATACAACAAATTACTTTTCTCTTTTGCAGCATCATCGTCGAGTGCCAATAGTTCCATTATTAATCCGGGATCACCCAAACCCGAGAAACGTCAAGCAAATTCTCCTCTACCACCACCGCCTGAAGCAACCGCGGAAGGGTACGCGATTGTTGACAAAAAGAGTAAAAGCGATGACAAATCGAGATCTTCGCTATCAGTGGGTAAGTCGCTCGAAGACATGTACGCAAAAGTGATGAAGAAAAAAAAGGAGATAGAGGAGCAGCAAAACGATACTCATCTAAACTCTAATAATGTTCTACATTCTGAAGCAAATATTTGCAGAAAATTGAGTCTTGAGGTCAGCCGGGCATCATGGTGCAGCCATGAGTCCGTGGAAATACAAAAGAAGGAACCTGATCTCGTGTATTATTCTGTTACAAGCAGTAACACGTGCAACTTTAATGTTGAAAATGACAATAACATTTTGAGATTACCTAAAGTCGATATGGACGCGGCTCATTTAAAGATTGATCATGAATACGAGACCGTTAATTCTAACAATAGCAAGAGAAACTCTATCGCGAGAGGCGACACGGCGACATCGTCCGATTTAAACTACAACATGTTGCGTCCACAATGCTCGCGAGAGATCGATTTTCAAAGCACTTCGATATTGGCAAGAAACAGCACGGACACATATTCGATATCATTTAAGCACAGACAAGTAAGTAATGCCAGCAGCGAGGATCCTGGCTATGAGAAGGTGCGTTTGCGACGGCGAGACGAGTTAGAGTTAGATCAAGACACTGACTCTGAACCAAATTACGAAAGCATGCCGCATCATACAGTTGAACCGAATTATGCATCCGTCTGCCAGCCGGGTGATAGTGACACAGACCCGAATTATGAGTCTGTGAGTCATGGCGATCCAAATTACGAGAGCGTAAGGTACATGAATGTCACACAAAATGAGGAACCGCCTTACGAACAGGTGAATAATTTTCTGTCGGATGCAAAAGCGGACGGTTATGAAAAAATAAAGGATAAGAATATGATGAGTGTTTATAACAAAAAGATAGATCTGAATCTTTCCTTGGAACGAATCAATAATGGAGGAGATATTGACGATGGAGAGTACATTCAGGTTTAACATTCTGATTTTGTTCAACGTTCACCAAGTGTGCGTTGTTATCGAATTATTTTGTGTCTTTTCTACACATCTCAAATTCGTTTGGAATTTGGAAGAAAAACGAAATTTAACCTCGTATATTGCGATCCAATGAGTAACTTCTAATGCATAAAAGCAACATGCATCAAGTTACAACCGATAGCAATAAGATAATGAGGATAAGACTGATAGAGACAGACAGTGAGAATAAGCTTACGAATAAAAAGAGCTAAATTGTATTATATATTTAATCTGATACATTCCTGAAATCAGTAACTTGAACTACAATTTAAAAAATAATTGATAAACAAGTAAAAATAAATCTTTTTTATGTGAAATTGTGTATTATTACATTTGAAATGTTGTTCATGCAAACTAAAACTTAAAAAAAAAAATTATCATCTGTCTTTAATAAAAAAAGGATAAAAATATTTTTAAAAAAAAGAAAGATTTTTGACCTTTAAGAGGAATGAAAAAAATCTAAAATTTTAAGAAAATACATTAATAATAATAAAGAAGATTATTTTAGACATCATAAAAGCGCTAGAGAAAATTATTGAAATGGCAATATTTACATCGAATTAATACTGTTTGGAAGAAAATGCTATTCAACAATATAAGACGTGATTATTTTGAGAAAAAGAAATAGTTTTTAAAATATTTTTCACATAATTATATTATCGAATAAATTTATTTATTATATCAAAATTTTGAGAAAATACAAATTGAAACACGTAAAAGTTTTAATTTTAACAAAATTAACGATTTTCTCTAATTGGAAGAAATGAAATTGATTAGTTATTTTTTGTAATATGGAATATATAAATTATATTTTATAACATAGGTTATATATATATTTGTACATATTTTAAATTTTCGTGCAATTTTGTATTGTAAAAAAGCCTCTTTAGACGATTTATAATTTGCGATAAAATTTAAGACAATTATATTTGTAAAGTTTATATATCATGTAATGCAGAAAATATTTGAACACGTAAAATATATATGAATCAAAATATATATCATTATATTGGGTTGAATACATACAGAGTGCGGAAAAAATACCGGGACCCTAAAATATCTCGAAGAGAATAGCTTTTGGAGGAAAATGTTAAATACAAAAGTTTTTGGGTATTGAAAGAGTTATCTGACTGGTCAACTAGATTTAGGGCCCAGGGACTAGTTTAGGCCTAGTATAAAAGTATTACAGTAAGATTATCGAGAACTAGATATTTTACGAGATATTTTATCTTTTCTATCAATATATGTCAGATTAAAATATAAAATAATTCAAAAAGTACTTAATGAAAAAATACTTTATTATAGTGTTTTGGAAAGCTCTCAACATAAGTTATAAGAATATACAATGAAAAATGGGAGTTTCCATTTAAGAAATTGAAAATGATCTTCATGTGACCTTCAAATGACTATCCAAGGTCACATCAATGGCACCATCTTATGTCCCCCTTCGAACCAAACAACTTTTGTCTGAAACGTTTTTCCGTATCTTCCATATTTTTCGAGATATTTGACTGGCTCTTTTAAAATGGACCACCCTGTATATATATATATCATTAAAACATGTGACGCATAAAATTACAAATATAATACTTACTATCTTGAATTTTATCGCGCATTATGGATCGTCTAAAGATTCTAAAAAAATTTCTGAATTTTTTTATGTGTCTGAGATATTATTTAACTAAATTTTATAGAGTTTATGAGGTTTTTTTTGACATTTTTATGAAAGTGGATATGAGAAAAAGTAACAGTGAAATAGAATAAAAAAATATACAAATTTGCATTAACTATTTAATTATTTCTGTTTAAAAAATGTTTAACACTATAAAAATATAAATGTCAAAAAAATAAAAGTAAATAAAAAATTTAAAGACTTAAAAAAAGAAATTAAAAAAGAGGAAGTAATAAAACTCGTCTTTCCATAATGCACTTTTGAAAACACATGCAATGCAGCTTAATAATCCTTCAAAAAAATTAAGGTATAAAAAGAAGCAAGGATTATATAAAACAGAGAGAGAGAGAATTTAAAACTTATTTTTTTGAACATTCCATATCTCGAGTCGAAGAACTCGTACAAAAATGAAGAAAAAAAAAAACATTTTTGGAAAATAAGAATGTAACTCAATGTAGTTTAGATTAAATCGGAAAAAAATCTTTCTATTACTAACAATAAGAATTGAAGAAAATTATTATTTCCATACTAAAATCTGTATGTATCCCTAAATCAGCTTAAATATATATATATTAACTTTTTAAACATTATTTAAACATTTATTGTAAATTAGAATATTGCATAATGATAATATTTATCTAATACCGTGGCCTCCCGAAGTAATTTATATGAATATAAATTCAACCGCAATTAAACAATAGGAAGTAACAAATGCAGCATACATTTATTTTTATTTGCTGCAAAAAAAAACAAGCCAATTTTTAGACTTATTGTTAGTCTTATTATTTTTTCAGAAAAACATGCTACGACATATATTTTATTTATACTTTCTGCTAAATATGTATATAGAGAGTAAGTGTACATATACAATTTCGTATATATGCAAATAGAGAAATATTTATTACAAAAAATAAATATGTTAAATTTATCAGCCAATACCACATTATTACTACGATTAGATTTATTACCAATCAAATAAACCAATATTTCTCGAAATACATCAAATTGAGGCCCTTGGTCCCTCATCGAAGTCACATCAAATTATGACATCAAAAGCAAGAAAAAATGAGATATGTTGCGAAATACATTGAAATAAATAAATTTTTTTATACCAGCTCAAGTTTGATAGCATAGATTGATATAATATTTCGAAGACTTTTCTCAGTTTATAGGTTGATGTAACTGTACATTTTTATGAATTGTTATAAAGTCTATTTTGCTGAAAATATGAGACGCATATAAGTAAACTATACATTTACTATACTTTATTCTAAGCATTGTTTGTAAATCTATTTACAATTTCTTGTATTTTAACGTTTTTAGATTGATATTGATTGATGATTTGTATTGTTAAAAAAAAGTACACTAAAAAAGTTATGTAGAAAGAGAGAAAAAAATATGTATTACCATCAAGTAGTCAATCCATCCTTCTGGATATATAATTAACATTATCTATATATACTACTTCGTCCGTTCTTATAACTATCAGAATACTCTTTTCTTTTTCTCAAAATTGTTTGCAATTGTCTAATCGAAATATTATTGAGAATTTAACGATTTTTATTGCACAATATATGTAAATAGAACATTTATATTTAGAATTACAGGATCGTATGCATGCACGTACATATCTTTCTCAATGTTTAACATGTACTCATAATCATTATCTAATTTATGGATCTAGTTTTATTGCATCTGTAAATTATACAGGATGTCTACTTCCTGGGCTGCGTTCGGAAACATCACCCGTGTGCATACAAGCGTCATTCTATCTTTGTTATTTATTAAAAGTTGGATAAAGATAGAACGACGCTCATGTGCACACAGGTGATATTTCCGAACGCAGTTTTGGAAAAACATTGATGTGACTTTGTATTTTTCCTTCGAATGAACGAAAAGCATTAGAAAACACACTCAATGAGAAAAACTTATTTTAGAAGAAATTGCACCAAAAAATTTTTTAAATATTTTCTTTATCTGGAATTTAGAACAAAAATATCTGGAAGATCAGAGAATTTTCAGAGAATTTTTTTACAAGATTTGAATAGACACATCCTGTGATAAAATTCTCTTTAAAAGGAGAATGAAATGGGATTACATATTCGTATGTCATATTGATGATTTATTTCGTTAAAGAACATTGTTTATGTTGCAATTCTGGAAATACTTCGTACATTAATACTTCAAATATATCCTGTAAAAAATATTTAAAAAAATGAGGCTCATACACATACATATTTAACAATAATACGAAAGAATTGATCGACTTACGTAAAATAACTGCTTATTCAAATTCACGTTCTGTAGGGAATCGAAAACTTTAATCGCGCCGCGTTGAGCACTCTGCGCTCCTACTAGATTGGTCAATACTTCAGGTACATTATTAAGAAATTGCCTACGTGCCTCGCCTCGCGTTTTTAGTTTCTCCTCGTCAGTACGGAAAACCGTCTCGGACACGAGTTGACCATTCGGCCACCATGATTTCATAAACAATTGTATGTAATAATGAAGCATCGGCTCGGAAAACACCCAAGCGACAATATCTCTAATTTGTCTGTAAAAATCAAGTGACATATTAATATACTTTATGATAAATATTTGTTTTATAATTTGAATACAAAATATTAAAGAACTTTTAGAACTTTCTTTCTCTCTCTCTTTCTTCCTCTCCCTCCCCTCTCTCTTCCCCTTTCTGTTTATAAAATATTTATAAAAAAACAAGGTACCTCTCTCTCTCCTAAAATATCTCAAGTATTATTTTCTATGTATGTATGTACATGAAAGATTTACATTTTTATTTAACATGTAAACAAATAAACGAAATTTTTCTTGTTTTTATACTTCACCTATTTATGGTACGTCCATAAGTAATCTGTACGAAAGTAATGAGAGACCGTCTGAGCCAACGAAATACTCCTCGCAAATCGAAAATTTCTCCTAAAAGCGTGTACAATGGCTCAGCGATCGCATCCTTGCTAGCATTTAGATAGCTATCCGTACCGGTACGGCCTGTCTCACTATCGTCCAATAACAACGAATAATCTTCTTCATCTTCTTTATCGCGTAGCTCGTTACTACCAACAGATCTGTGGAAATTTATAAAGTCAAATATATCAATGATTATACGATGAAATTAGTGACGCGTACGTTTTGAATAAAGTAGATAAAGAAAAACGAGACTTCTTGGGAGACGGTGCCACGGCTTTAAGATGCTCCGAACTTGGACTAAGAAAGGCGTATAGTGCTTCGCTTTGATTAAGCCTTTCATCCTCCAAGACAAACTGCAAGAATTAATAAACGATGAATAGTATCAGTGTGTATAAGAGTTTAGATTTATAAATAAAAAGGACGTACGTTGCATTGAGACATACATTTAAATATTTTTGTATCTGCATTTTAGCTTTGTCAAGAGTGCTCTTATCAGATTTTCCGAAAAACTTTAGAGGCTGCGACGGTAAGTCCAGATTTTTAACGTCAGCACATAACTGACGTAGTTTTCTATGAAGATCTTGAAAATCTTGCAGTTTCCTCAACACTACCCATCCACTAGATATACTCTCGTCGTTGTCTTCATCTTCTGCCATGTGGACAACCAATACAAATTGTGGAGGATCCCCATTATCGGGCATCTACTCAAGGCATGAAACTTATGTATGAATATATACAGATAAAAATTTTTATACAGAATCACACACACACATACATACTTACTTCTGCACTTTGCACATCAGCTCTCCAATGACCTAAATGTTCGGCCCACATTTCCGTATGATTTAAATGCGCCTCCAATTGTCGTTTTTCACCTTGCAACCATTCGACCTCTTTCGCCAATATGCTTAGTACTTTGCTCTCGGGCTTGAGAGAGGATTTAAGTGCTTGTAGAGCTTGCATCTTGTTGTTCAATTTTTCCTGCAATTGATCCAGTTTACTGCGAGCGTAATTCGATCGTTCGCCAACGAGCAAAGTTGAAGATTCTGATAATGTACCATCAACGATCCCATGATCTTCAGCTAAACCTAACATACGAAGTAAAAGTTTATGAATACGTTACGTAATAAGTCGTAATACATCGTGTAATAAAGCTACTTTTCTAGTAGCTAGTATTGTCACATCAATATTAATCACATAATATCTCTAATATCTAATCTAATATTTAATCATAATTTTTATCTAGATTGAATTTAAAATTCTCTTGTATTTTATATATAATACTGACCCTCTGCTCTTTCATTGAGTAACGCTTCCTGCATGTTTTTATATTGCTCGCTAACGAGGAACGATGGATAATATTTGTCTTGGAGCGTCTTGACGACGCCATCTTGAACCTCGTAAAAAATACTAGGTCCCGTATCACCCAACAGAAAGGCCTCCATTCGCTTTCGGACATTTTTATCCACTTTAATCTCGGCGGTGGGTGATCTGATATAAGTATAAAAAATCTCAGCACCCAATTGATGCCAATTGGATCGATCCGCAGTGCGTAATTCCTGCACCGCCGCCCAGTAACCAATCAATCCTTGACTGGCGACCTGTTCTAAAAATTGAGACAAATGTCGTCGGCCAATCAAATTATCCAGAATCGCTTGCAGCGGAATTATCCTGCCTTCCGCAATCTCCGCGGCATCGCAAATCTCCGTATCCTAAAAGATATCATTACGAAATGTATAATTCGCGTTAAATCCAATTCGCGTGAGAGTTATATATTTCTATGCGAAACCTGATGAGGATATCCATCCCATCCCAACGTTTGCATGTGACACTCGCACGTATTTTTGGCGTACGTCAATTGGCTGATGTATCTCTTAAGTTTTCTCGCTCGAATAGCATCGGAATTTCCGAGCGTGTTATTCTCAGGATCCAAGCCTTGAGCTCGTTTAACGTTCTGTATCGTGGTAGCTTGCATAATCTCGGTAACGATGTTATATCTGATATGTTTGAGAACTTCTAAATCCTTAGTGCTCTTGATCATACGTATAAAATCCTCGAAGGATTCCGCGTATTCGTACGTTTTTCTATGCATCGCTTCGGCGAGTTGTTGTTGATCGATATACGCCAAGATCTTCTGATTGATGTAATCGGGATCCGTGATTAAATCTATCGCCGGTTTCAGGACTAAAATATAGAAAAAAAAATATATATATACATATAGGAAATCAAATAATTTGATTTTTTTATAGAATAATAATGAAATTACTTTTACATGTGAGAAGTTCCCTTAAAAGAAATTTGATTGGAGAAAGAGAGTAACTGCGTGGTAACAAAAACAGGATATAAAGTTCACTAATCTTCCTTAAATACTCCAATTCGGCAACAGGTGACATTAGATGTGCCGACAAAATAAATACAGGATCCTCTCCCTCTGATCTAAGTAGAACAAATAAATAAAATTATTCTTCTTATCTTATTCCTTAAATATGCCAGGAAGAGAGGCTTACGAAGCTGCTTGAGCTATCCTGATCTTTTCGAAGTGAAAGGTAAGCTTGTTCACTATATTGCAAACCACTAATTTAGTATGATCAACATGTGATAAACGATCGTGGAGGCTCTGTATCGCACCCCATACATCCTGTTTCATATTATTTATCAATTGTTCCGAACCAAAGGCCAGATCATTTAACCAAGAACCGACAAAGTCCTGAAAGACTAGATCTAAAAGATTCTGCAAGGCACCATCCACCAAACGAGTAAAAATCACAGGATAACGCATATGTTTTTTGCTGGTAGCTGATCTGGGCTCGTATCCTTTCTAAAAAAAGAAAAAACCAACAATTAAGAGCAAACAACAATAATGACATTGTACTGATATACTATATCAATTGCGTCACTTGTAAAGCACATGTACCATCAGCATGTTATGGAAGGCATCCATCTCGGTAATGATTTTAATGGAACTAGAACCAGTCTGGTGCTTGGGGGATAGGGCTATGTTAATCATTATCATGATTAATGGGCCGACAAGCAGACAGGAACAAGTCAATATAACATAAAGACAACAACACTGAATGCAGGTCCAGCCAGTAACAATTCCCAGACTTATGACAGCTAATGGTATAAAGCAAACGATAACAGGGGGGACCATGTTTCTCTTTAGTAATAATACGATAATACGACAAGCCAATAATATTTATATCAGTAAAGGTATATTCAAGACAATAATACTCTTTAATCTCGCCGTGTTAATAATACAAAACAATAATATCAGGTGCCTCGCCATTTTTAAATACCTCTAGCACCCATAAACATATAAAATATATAGACGGAACTTATAAATAAAGGCAAACGCTCGGTCTAGATATACTATGTCTATGGAACTTATTCTGTGTTTATTCCATTGAATAAAAAAGAATAGGGATGAGTCGATTGTGTATCTTTGAAACGAAGTGAAAATTACAAAAGTGAACAGATTTACTAGATTTCGACAAATGAAATTGTAGATACTCTAGTGAATTTTCTAATGGCATTTTCGAATGTAGCAGGTTTAGGGCCAATTTCACCAAGCTCGGTTAGATTAACCGACGGTTAAAATTAGCAGGGTTCCAACTGAAATGATAAGAATGCTTGGTTTTCCTTCACCTCTATTTTCTGTTGGCCACCCTGCTAATTTTAACCGTCGGTTAGTGCCGGTCTACAATAGGGGATTTAAGCCCTAAACCTTATGACTTAACCTCTAAACTATGACGTATTTTCGGCCTTAAACATTTCTCGCGCTGCCTTAAGCCCTAATCTCTAAGCCCTAAGCGAGTTGGCCAACTCCCATCTTTTAAAGCTTAGAGCTTGAGGCTAGGATCGATGTAATTTTTCTCTTAAAACAAAGGCTAAATCTTAAATCACCTATTGTAGACCGGCACTAATG